TGGTGTCATGCTTATGTGTAGTTCGCTCGACATTACTTTGTTCATAGACTTCTGAAATAGTTCGTATTCCTCTGTATATATTCGTTGTTGAGGCCCTACAGTCGTTTTTATTATATTTAGAAGATCCGTCGTGGTCTCACCTAACCCTAAATGAAATGGTACCGTCTTATTCGTTAAGTTGTGACTTGTGAGCAATCATCTTGTGCGGCGAAGACATTCTCCCGTTAGAACGACTCAGTCTGAATTACAGCAAATCGTGAACATAAATATGAAGCTGTAATCGACATAACGTAATCTCCCTCTAACCGCCCTTCCCATCCCCCAGACACGTTCACTCTAGTCCACAACGCGGGCCTCCTTTCGAGCCGGTCACCGCCGCCGGACTGGATCACCCGCCGGCTCACGGAGGCCGGTCTGACTGAGTTCACCACCTGTTTAGTGCGACACTGTCCACTGGCGTACGGTGTACGGCTGGCCCACACGGAGGGAAGAGAGGTGGTGTATTCGGGAGACACGAGGCCCTGTGATGAGCTGGTCGAGCTGGGTGAGTGGTGGGGCAGAACGGATTGGGAATGAATAGAATATCGAATGTGTCTGATTTGAAAATATTTGTGGTTAACTGTCTCTCTCTGACCCTTTCTGCAATCTGTCTCGGGTTTTCGGCCACCGTATATTCTTCTCGATTGGATTTTGCGGTCTTGTTTTTAGGGTTTAACTTCTGATAACGATTTTTCCTTTTGTTTGTTCAAGATTTCATTCCGTAACTTTTATTCCATTCGCCGTAATTAATGAATGCCTTATGAGAGGCGTCTGTGAGAGGAGGTATTGTACTCCCTTGTCGCCAAAGTCTCAGTCATTATACACGAGTTATGCTTTTAAATGAAATCAATTATTGCACAACCGGTGCTGAAGCCGTCTATAACTAATTAATCTCGCTGCTGTCGCCAGGTCGCGGCTGTGACCTGCTCATCCACGAGGCCACACACGAGGACGAGCTACAGGAGGAGGCCGTACTGCGGGCACATTCCACCGTCTCAGAGGCCATCGGTGAGTGACCGAGTAGTAGAGGCCAGAGAGTGACGATATTATTGGCATGCTGTCGGGTATAACTATAATTATAGTCCTTATACGGCTATTTGTTCTGAGTATTGACGTAGCAAGACAGTCGGAGCTGCAACCACTTTAAATTTATCGTTTTATTAATTGATTTTCTGAGTGTCGACACTGCCGGGAGAAATTGCACCTACTGTCTTTTATTTCTCCTCAGTCCACCAGTACTTGCGGTGGACACTGTCTCGTGAGGTCATGCTGGCTGTAGCGAAAGCTTGGTATTTTGTAATTGAATTTTAATCGATTCTGATATAAAAACGGGTGCTGAGTATCGGTACTTTCAAAGCCAGCTGCGAATGTACAGTGTTCAGAGCCACTGGTTACTGAGTGATTTCGGGATCCAATCCCTGTCCCCTGATCTACTTCCCGTATCGACTATACCACCCCTTCTGTTTCGTCCACACAGAGGTGGGTGTACGGATGGGCGCCCGTCACGTGTTGCTCACCCACTTCAGCCAGCGGTACGCCTCTCTACCGATGCTGCCGGAGCCGGCGCCGGACAACGTCGGAATCGCCTACGATAACATGGTGGTGAGTGAGGGGGAAGGATTGTAAGGGTGGGGTTTAGACTGGACGGGTGGGGGCAGGGAGTGGAATGTATGAAAACCATCAAGGAAACTGGAAAGGATTTACCCTAAGAATTGTAAGAAAGATTTGGTGGTGTTTTAAAAGGGCGCACCAGCAACGAGGCTATGAATTTAAGAAAGAAAGGAAGACCGTAAGAAAGGAATGCTTACGGTAGTGGGATCGTGATTAGACGAGGACAGTGTGTTTGGAGAGGGTGGATGGTGGACGTGGTATAGGGATGGCAACCAGTGGTTTCTGAAGTTATTAGACGGGCACGAGACAGATTTATACTCGCGAATATGTTTTCGTAGGGCACAGACAGATTTGTATGTGTCTGGATGTTTCATACTGAACACACGCTCATACATCATACATTGATTTGCACATACAATGAAATGTTAAGTATGACAACGTTTTGTGGATAGGTATTCGAGTTCCTGCCCCGCTTGTCTCACCGTGTGTTTTAAGTCGCATCTCATTCTGACTGCCCTTTTCTACGCCTCAGATCAACCACGGCCACCTACCTCGGGTACCTCTGCTCTATCCCGCCCTGCGCCGGGCCTTCGCCGAATCATACGACCAGTGCGTTGAGCGGACGGCAAAACGACGCGACCGAAAACAGAGGGAGGCAGAGGTACTGGCTGAAGCCGGAACTACTGCGTGACGTCACTGGAGCTTCGTGACGTCAGTGGTGTTATGCTAAACGCTGTGTTGAAGCCTCCGTCGACGATGTCAAGTGGTTGGAGCTGGTGAAATGGTGTAGCTTTGCGGCCGAACTAGTCGACGACTCAGTTTTGAAAGTGCGTGATATTGCATGCATATTTTTGATTGGCACAGAAAAAAATGTGATGGAGGGTTTGATTGAAATTATTTCTTTTTCTGCTCAGAGTCGGACAAACCCGTACGATATGGTACACTAAACTCTTTCACTTGAAACTCTGCGTATGGTGTGCGGATGCCGCGATAAGAACATTTTTGATACGTGATTTGACCGGGGCTATGGGACGCCGCTGATCTTTCTCCTCGCATGCAGTTAGAGCGTCGTTAGGTGGCACTGTGATACGATTAGATGACGCAAAAGGCGAGATACATGGCTCGCTGTGTTTCTAGTTTTGCGACTTGTTATTTTCAGTGTTGAGTGATCGGTGTTGATACAATATATCAATTTCTTTTCACACGTGTTGTTCTTTATCTTAACATCGGAAGTACACTTGGTTGAAAACTTGGCGATTTACGGTAACATCTGAACTGATACGATTGACTAGGAGCGAATTGAGACATCGAAGGCAATATTTTGTCAGAATGAAAAATACGCGGACGCTCGCAAAAAAATGAAGCTATGCATTTTATATTGGCTTAAAAGCCGTTGTATCCTCTGACAGGCTCTAGAAGGCAAACCGGTCAAAGCTGAGGTCTGAGGACATCGGCGAAAAAGCCATATAATGCTTTCTAGTGATATTGCAGTTCACATGAGTAATGGAGCGATTTGCCCCTAACTAATGTCCAAATCGGTTACTAAAACCTTAGATGGCCTCCGGTGAGCTGGCCCATGGATGACAAGCATTTCTACTCATGCTTTTGACGAACTTCAACACGGTTATCGCCTAACCAGAGTCACAATATTGAATATACCTAGCCTAGCTCGGTGGGAGTGGAGTGAGACAGAACCCGTAACGTAAAAACGCGGCTCGGCGCCGCCGCGGCCGGCGTCTCGGTAGTCGGTGTGCTACTGCTACGATCCTGATAAACGTCACGGTACGGGTCACACTCACATGATTGTAAATGTCCGAAATGTGGAAAATTTGATAGTTGATGAAATAAGAATTACTACCTGACCTGACCTTTGTCTGGACCGAAAATGAGCGAGGCATTGGCCATGAACGTTTTTGTCGACGAGCTATCGAATGCCGGGTTCACACTTATCGTTGCCCGAGAGCCGAGTTTTTACTAAGCCCGTATCCGCACTATAACAAACAGCTGGTCGCTGGAATTAGCAAGTTGCCCATTGCCCATGTCTCTTCTGGATTTTTCATTTGGTAAGTTCACTTTAAAAAAAAATGAAACATGCTCTGCTCAAAAAAGTGTAAAAATTCAAAATATACGGACAGACGCCGCATCCCGAGCCTCGGCTACGTCATGCTATTGAGTTAGCTGACACCGGTCTCCTCCATTCTTACGACCGACGTATCCTGTTGCAGCACGCCCCCAGGGTATGACGTGCTCCACTACGTCACGCCGTACTCGGCCGTAGCCGGTCGGGGCGTGCTACGGCGGCCGGCCGGCCGAACAAAGAGGCGGGGCGGACCGCCCCGACGCCCGCCCGTCCGCTACCCCCGGGTCGTAGCCATGATCTGTGGGGAAACGGCTTATATGGCAAATGATGTCCAGTAAAGAAACCGAGTCGAAAAAGTCACCACATCATAATTCATAGCACATGAAAGAAACAGGTCGGAGCGACCGATTTCAAAAAGATTACAAAACCGTTATGCACAGAACGCACTACAGCTTGGTATTCCCCGTTTGATTTGAATATATTTCGGTAAAACCATACATAACTAAAACATAGAAGCATGATCACTCAGCATGATTTATCATATGTGCAAGGACTGTGCAATATTTGTTGCAGCGTACGAGGGTTGGGAATGCATCCCCCAGATTGGCCTCATTTGGCCCGGCGCCCAGCCGAACAATGAATTATTGAAACTAATGCAGAAATGCTTCATTCTAAGCTCTCCAGCATCATAACTTTCGTGTTATTTGTCCAGTATTTCGTAGTTCATCTTAACGATCAACATGCTGTTGAAAAATTATCAAATATAAGTAGAAAGTCTGCCATGACCGTTGCGAGGAATCCAAATAAGCCGTTGGATGTTGCTCGGAATGTGCTTGTGGAAATCTTCGAACAAAGCCCTGTAGCGGCATGTATAGTGGGTGTCCAAGTGTGAAAATCGGCTCACAGACTCAGCATAAAGCGTTCTTCGTGATGAAATCATAATTAGAAATGTATACTGCATAGAAAGCCCTTAATTTTATCAATTATTGCAAGATTTAATTTTTTACTTCAGGAAATTTCATCTTTACACGCCTGTATCTTCTAAACCTTTGGAGGTAGAACATTGAATCATTCACATAACAAAGTTCCACTATTTCAGTTTACATATCAACTCAAATTTTGACATAACACGATCGGTATTTTCTATTTTGAGCGCTGTCAATAAACTACAAACACAGTTGCAGCGGCGCGCGGCGGCCGCTCAACTCTCGTCGGCCGCGGCGGCACAGTGCGCTCGCTGTCGTCCGCGCCGCGGCTATATAAACACCGCCGACCGGGCGCCGTCATCAGTCTCAGTCCGACGCTCGCCGTGTTCACGTCGCTCCGTGCTAGCTCTCGCCATGGCCGATACTGAAGCCCCCGCTGCCGCGCCTGCCGCCCCGGCTACTCCTGCCAAGAAGGGACGCAAGCCCAAGGATGGTGCCGCCAAGAAGGCCAAGTCTGACCGCCCGCCTACCATGCAGCTCATCGAGAAAGCCATCGAGAGTGAGAAGGACCCCAAGGGCACCTCTGTTCTGGCCATCAAGAAGTATATCACCGCCAACTACCAGGTGAAGTCTGCCCAGTTCCTGAACCACATGCTGCGCAGGGCGTTCGAGGCTGGTCTGGCTGCAGGAAAGCTGTCGCGCCCCAAGGGCCAGGGTGAGTCCCACCTGCTCGCCGGACGCTACCGTCTCGCCGTGAAGGAAAAGAAGGCCAAGGCAGCCCCGGCCAAGCCCAAGAAGGTCGTCAAGAAGCCCAAGGCGGCCAAGTCCCCCGCTAAGAAAGCAGCAGCGAAGCCGAAGAAGGCCAAGACGCCCAAGAAGAAGCCTGCCGCCGCTGCAAAGAAGGCCAAGTCGCCCAAGAAGGTGAAGAAGACGCCCAAGAAGCCGGCTGCTAAGAAGACCGCAGCAAAGAAGACTCCCAAGAAGGCGGCAAAGAAGGCATAAATGGCCTTCTAAAACGTGACAGTGTACAAATTCAGTGTATGTAGATCATCGTCATTAATCGAGAATATGCATCTTGTGATGCTTTATTGGAGCCGAGCCAGTCGCTCGAAGGTGGATCTCGCCATATGTTGATGCTCGATAATCGAGTAATTATCGCCGCCAGTAATGGCACAATGTACTGTATCATCCATCGCATTTGATCATCAATACATCATCTCATCGAAACGAGCTTTTGTGGCGACTGGGATGTCTGAACTCGGGGGGGGGGGGGAGGCGCTTGAAAGGAGAGGAGTGCACACTAGAGAAAGCAATGATCAATAGGCTGGTACTCAATATAACATGCACACATGACTGGGAACAGGGCCTTGCATTCTGAGTAATGTTGGAAATAATACGGCACTTCAGTTTTCCTAGACCGCCGGTCGGAGGGAGCGGCTCAACTTTCTATTACCACGGCAATTAGGTCACTGACGCCGGCTACCGTCCCAATTACCACCCACAACGGACGAAGCAGTCATTACAGACAGTTCAGGGAACTTCAATGGGTGGCTTTTTGAAAGTATCGAGCGTTTGCGTCTCGCAAAAACCAGATGCCTTTAATAAGCTTGAGCACAGAGGCGGTTCATATCCGATTCATAATCGAAGCTCAGTTCCCTCCCCCTCCCCAGTCCCCACAACATGGGGAAATGCATTTGAAATTAGGCGAGCCTGGCGCCACCTACCAAGCTCTAGTTGTAAGGTCAACCACAATACGTCGGTGAGCCGAAGCCAAACTAACCACCGCTCGACGCACTTCGCACTGATTCACCATCTACCTCATCCGCTTCCCCACGGTGACTACCGTTTCCCCTCCAGTCAAAAGACAAAGCGTTATTTTTGGCAGCTTGGCTCTAACTTGGCTTTGATTCAATTCCCACTCAGTACCAAACAGGCAGACTGCGGAATCGGCTAAGTAGCATCTCGATAGCCTGGTGTGCTGAACTCTTACCAAAGTATCGACCTTCGGCAGGGTGACGGTGAGCACCAGTCTCCACCATCCAGCTACGTTGGAACATCCTCGATGTTTGCTGGTTTCCTCGGATTGATGAAAGGAAGGTAGGGTGTCTCACTCGTACTCGGAGAGAACCCTGCGGAGAGCGGAACAGAAGAGAGGACAGAGAGGATCAGACACCGATCAGGTCAGGCCACTGGCCAGGTCAATGAAGGGAAGCGGCATCAGGGTTGGGAACGAGAGCACGGACCACAGTATGTTATAGCAAGCTGAGGCTCAAAACATTTGTCTTTTCGGCAAACAGGTTTGTCTATTTCCCGGTTGATTTCATCGTACGTCAAGAATGTGTCCAAACTCTTTCTCAATGCACAGTTGCCTTCAATTCATTTCAATAGTCTTCAGAAACATCGCACAGCATTCACAAAACAACGACCACAATATAATGATTATCACAGCGTACAGTACTCAGTTGACAATGCCGTTACTGCGTAAGTAATACAGCATCTGCCCGAGCATCAAACGATACACAGCGCGAAATATGACCAACGAGAGTAGCAGCCACTGGCCGTGATCTGTGAGGTCTAAAAGACGAGTCTATCGTAGACCATGATCAAACGTGGTCTTCAGGACGTTTCGTTGACCGTGGTCCTGAATTCTGAATACTACGGTCTACCAGCTCCTCACAGACTATGGTCATTCAGGTCTTGCAGACTATTTGGAGACTGCAGATTTAAGTTCTCTTGCAATGCAACTCAATGCAATCCTGTTCAAGTCCCTCCAGCAGTAACCCGCTTCCCCTCCTCTACCGTCTCTACCAGAGACCGAGGCCGGTACTGGCTGCTCTGAGGCAGTTCCGGCTCCATCTCCGTCTCGGCCAGCCAGCCGGCGTACCGCAGTCGGAACTTTTGTACCCACTCGGGGAAGGAGCGCCGACGGGCGGCCGACGGCACCGGACCACCGCGCTCCTGGGGGTAGACAGAGGGGTACGAGCACAGTCAGATCTGTAGGGAGAAGGCATTATCAGACTGGTGGGGGCCGAGGGAACAGACAGAACGACCGTCGATAGTCGAATTGATATTCTAGAAGGGCAGCGATGTTTTTTATATAAATGCAGCAGTCCTTCCTTCTGTTATTGGATTTTTAAGCATGTGACAATTCTTCCAAAGTTGCCGTTATAACTTTCAATGTCACTAGTTTCGTCCAAAGGAAACACGTCTTTCAGTCCTACCTCGTCCTCATCACATTTCAATATTTTTATTCCCATACTCCTCTTTCATCCATACGCTTCTCTCGCTAACACTTATACTGATCTGATATTTCACTGTTCATCATCAGATCCGCCACACTGCAATCGCGCCTAGTAACTATTTACCGAGCTCTCCTCTGAACATGATCACCTGACACCTTCACCTCCTCCCCTCTCCCCTTCCCTCCACCACTCTTACCCTCTCCACCAGCAGCTCCTGTAGCCTCAGCCTGAGCTCCTCCAGCCGCTGCAGGGCGCGGCGGTCGGGACGCACTTGGTGCTTCACAAACGCCTCCATGACGGTCAGAGTGCGGTGTGGGTCGGCCGCCCGGGCCGCGCCGTTCAGAAGGGTGGTGAGAATCTCCACGTTTGGCCTGGGGTAGGGTCAGGATAGACATCAGATCACGGATGTAACATGGTCAATAGTTAGATGAATGCGGCACATTCAACGACAGTATGTAAAAATATCGCCGGAAAACTGCACGCGAAGCGAAACACTGATTAACACTGAAACATAAGAAAAATATGTTAGAGATAAGTATTACCAATGAAGCTGACAATCCAATTTTGGATGTCGCTGTCGACTTGATTAAACCAAACAAATCAAAAGATGAGATGCGAAGTGCGAGGTTCCTTCACGATCGACCGACCCATCCAGATATCGTGATTTCTGAAACAACCGTACCGGACCCCATATCGCTCGAAATTAACCCATGATCCCCAAAACGTCACCACATCCCAGTCTGAGCCCTTACCGTACGTTGGCCGCCTGTAACTTCTCCATGAACTCATCGAGTCCCCGCTGTGAGGAGACAGACATGGCCAGACACCCGAACGAAGCGACGTCGGGGGTAAGTTGACGGCGCTCCAGCTCACCGAAGGCCGCCTGTGGATCGGGACAGAAACAGGCCGGGTTAAATGGCGACACACAGTGGCTATAGGACAAATTTAAAGGACCACGGACCGGTAATGGGCCAGTTCGAATGTCAACAACCATTACGGAACGAATGTGGTAAAACCGGCATATGCTTTCACCAGGTCAACGACTCAACAGTACGAAGATCAACGAAGAAATGCCTACAGAGACAAGGTTTGTTCTGGCTATATCGTGAAAAAGAAAGAAAACAGTGCTGAGCCTTGCACACATTTTATGTGCGCTGGCTGACATTTAAAAGCATGATGGGTGTGTATAATATCGAACTGAGCATTGTTCACAGACTTACAAACGTGTCATGTGTCAGCATGTGTGAATAACATCTCGGAGAATATGCGGTATTTGGCGCAGATAAACACGCTCTCCAGCGAATTTCGATGGCACTTTGTACCTGAGCGCCGGCGGTATCACGGCAGGAGGCCCGCTTCTTGATGAGCTGGTTGAAGAAGCCGACGTCGGGCTGGACGCCCAGCGCATCCATCGTCTTCAGCAACCTCTGTAACACCGGCGAGATCCAGTCAGTCTGACTCTAGATATGACTAAGCTGCTGACTGTGACTCACTCAGTAGTCATGGCTTGTGACTCACCGACTTCACCGTAACTGAATCTTATGACTCAGCTCACTTACGACTCTAGTATGAATCCTATTACTCAGCTCACTGATTGGAGTGACTCATTGACTCCAGTAGAATCTCACTGACTGAACGGTAATAAATTGACTCCGTACTATCATACAAACTTAGTTATGATTCACCGACATAAGGAGTGACTCGCTAATGAACTTGGCTGAAACTTACTGACTTCGCTATGAGTCACTGACTCAGTTGTAACTCACCGACTCAGTTGTGACGCACTGACTCAGCTATGACTCACTTACAATTCCTATAGACAGTAGACACCACATCACCCAAATCATGCGTCAAACCACATCACACGTCCTACCTCCTGCTGGCCGGAGTCGTTCGGCATCGTGTTCAGCAGGAGCGAGAAGGTCCTGATGTCGGGCTGAACACCGTCGGCAGCCATGGTCTGAAGCAGCCCCGTCCAGCCGCCTAGTACAGCCAGTCTGAAGAGCGGGAGGAGGGGTTAGCTGGTGTCAGCTAAGAGGCAGGACTCATAAGAGTGCATGGGTGCCAAAGCCGAAGGTGCTGGTGGAGAGTGCTAGGGGGTAGAGGTGTCTGGACTTACAGGTGGATAACATTGCAAGGTGCATACAAAACTGGCATATCATGTTTGAAAGGCAAGAGAAAGAAGAAGAATCAGAGAAGGAAGAAAATAGAAGATGTCACATCAGAGGAATAGGGATCGTAAAAGAAACAAAGTGGAGGAAAGATAGACAGAAAGACACTTATCTTGGATAAGTGTCTTTCAATCCATCCATTCAACATCCAAACAAACTTTACAAAAGAAGATAAAAGTGCCAGCTCCTTCCCATCCCCCTCACCTGGCGGGCGCGGTGTCCAAATGCCGCAGCTCCACCAAACCTCCTCGGTGAGGTCTCGGTCCCAGCAGGTCAGGTAGATCCGCGGCCAGCGGCCCGATCTTCTCCAAGGCACCAGCCGAGCGCAGGCATTCAGTCACGTGAACAACCTGTGTGTCCTGCTGCTTCTGTTGTTGATGCTGTTGTTGCTTCTGCGAAGACTGAGCTGAGTCTGCCAACTTCGCCTTACTCTTCTGACTAGCATTCATTGTCCGATTACCATCTCCGAGATTCGAGCTCTCACGATTGTCACGATTAGAGCCCGATGCTGATTTCGCCCCTGCAGTCAAAGCAGCGACCGCAGCGCTGTCAAGCGGCGAGCTGGACACTATTAGTTTCATCGCCTGCTCAAAGGTGGCGATGTCCCCGGCGCCGCAGTCCAGAGCTGCTCGCAGCATTAGGTTGTAGAGGTAGATAGAGGGCGGTACGTGCTTGGAGCGTACTTTATGCCATACCTGAGGGAAAAGGGGGGAGAGATAAGTGATCACTGGCCAGCTGGCTAGCGTGTCAGCTCGTGTAGTAACCTCAGATTGCCCTTGCGGATGTTGATGTATAATTAGGTTCACCCCGGGGTTCAGGAGCCTCAGAAGTGCTATCAGGAGTTTGAAACAATGAACACACCGGTATTTACAATATCAACATTCGCTGGATACAACATATCGCTCCTGAGGTAGGAAAACATTTCCAACAGGTGTTCATTAGGAAGCTTATAATGAAATAATGATAACCATACTGTATTCATTTAGAGCGTGAGAACTTGCAAGGTTGAATTCGCACTACCCCAGCGGAAGAGAAGAGATTCGTTGCGCTACACCAATTCATCCAGTTACAATTACCAACCACAGAAAAGAGTATAAGCCTCCTTCCCAGCTCTCCCAGCAGCAGAGTCATCCAGCAGCAGAGATATCAGCTCTCTCAGCAGCAGAGTCATCCATCAGCGGCTGTAATAGTATACACGGCAGTCCAAACTATCTCAGTCCTCTACTCTACTCACTCACTCACCTAACCTCACCTCACCTCTACTCACTCACCTCACCTCACCTCACCTCACCTCACCTATCCTCACCTCACCTAACCTAACCTCACCTCACATCATCTCACCTCAACTAACCTAACCTCAGCCCACCTAACCTCACCTCACCTCACTCACCTCACTCACCTCACATCACCTCACCTCATCTCACCTCACCTCTCCTCACCTCCCTCCCCTCCCGTCCACTCACCAGCAGGGCATGTCTGAAGCCCTCTCCGGTGTCTGAGATGCACGCCTGCAGTAGAAAACTGGCCAGCTCGGCGGTCAAGGGGTGACCCAGTCGCAGCAGCTCGTCGGCGGTCTCAAACGCACGCTGGAGCTCCCCGCAGCGGCCGTATGCTGAAAGAGAGAGAAGAGGGGAGATTTAGATGGGAGAGAGGGAGTAAAACAGGGGAGTTAAATGGGGAGTTAGATAGTGTCTCAAAGGCACGCTGCAGCTCCCCGCGGCGACCGTACGCTGTAAAAGAGAGCAGGGGAGATTTAGACAGGGCAGCGGCAGGGCTAGACAGGGAAATTAGATGGAGAGCGTCTCAAACGCACGCTGCAGCTCCCCACAGCGGCCGTATGCTGCAAAAGAAAGAGGAGAGGGGGGTCAAATAAGGGAATTAGATGGTAGTTAGGCAGTTAAATGAGGGCTAAATGGGAAGGGGGATTAGATGAGGGCCGGATGGGAAACGGGTTAGATCAGGGTTAGATGGGGAGGGAATTTAGACGGGAAGGTGAGTCGTACAGGATTCGTTAGACTTGGGGTGGTGGAATAACCAATAAAGAAAAGAAGACAGAAAGATGGGGAACATAAGAATAGATGTCGAGGGAGAGCGACATGGGAAACAGGGAGCTACATAAGCAGTAGGAATGAGGCACAGGGGCACGATACATGAATAAGGGAGCATAATAAAGGGGAAGTGAGAAGAAGAGGAAGAAATAGGAACTTATTATTATCATGGCCAGGCAGAAGAATAAATGCGATGTTTTGTTTTTACGACGCTGTACGAGTACATTTATTTACTTCCAGGTGAGGCAAGAGCTGAAGGTTTCCTCCAGTCCTTGGAGTTCGGCATGATCATGTCGAACGTCCAACAGGACGCCGCAGGCACATCGAGCCCTGGTGACGTCACTGGCCATCAAATGACGTCACAGTGTCGGTAGCGGAGCGCCGGCCGTAACAGCGAGTCTGTTCAGGCGGCCGCCGCTCCAAACGTCATCACTATCGACCTGTGTGACGTCACATAAACAATTCACAGGAACGTCACAGTCAGCTGACGACGCCAGCCAATCAGAGCGGAGAACAGTGCCACGTCACAGTGCGGTAGTACAGTGAGCTCGGACTGGTGCTAAGGGGCTCAGTGACGACGGACCGGGGCCGCTATTGGTTGCCGAGAGAGACGACTATATAGCGACAGCGACCGATATGAGCGGACGGGGCCCGTCAGGACCTGTCCTAACTTCTGCTTCTTGAGCTTTAGGGGCTGTAGTGCATAATATCATATTCTTTTTTAACTTACATTTTGTATCGACCATTGACAGTTTGAAAAACCTGGCCTTATTCTCACTCTGACAATAAACATGCAATAATTAAATAAGCACTAATTAATCACGGAATGTTAGTAGGTAACCGATGAAGCATGTGGCCTACTCATCGCCAGTTTAATTAGACCCTCCCCCACTCTCACCCCACCAGGCGACTGGATACGGCAACGCCTCCTGGGTAGAAATCCCGACGCGATCGTTTATATTTGACAAACCATGGCCCCTGCCACCTGCCGCCACCCCTCCCCTCCATATCCCCAGGCTAGACTCACAGGAGGGTCTTCGAGGCCCTGGTCCCCTGCAGAGAAGGGTCAGCCCGTCGAGGGACTGATCGTATCGCGAGGACCATGGACTCTCGCTCTAACAAATTATTACGATTTTAAGCTCATTCTTTAGGCAAGTTCGTGCGTTAGGGATAACAGGAAGGGATAGACGCATTCAAAAGAGAAAAAAAGTGTATTCAAAAGCCTAGATCTTTAACCCAAGTAGTTAGATAATGTTTGCTTTGAAGACCGTGTGCTCAATGGAAATATAAAGACACTTCATTCAAACGCGGCCAAGCTGCCATATTTATGCCGATCACAGACTCAAACCGTATGCAGCAGAATTAACAGCATGTTCACCTCTAGAGAGACCAGAGTCGAGAGAAAGTCACCTCCTTCACCACAACGCCCTCCGGGCGCGTTTGACGCTCGCGTATTTGGCCGAGACCCATCAGACTTGGCCTCATTCTGGCACTGAACCCTGGCTACCGGCCAGAGTGGCACGCTAGCTCGACGTAAGGTCAACTCGTATCGCGTACAAAGTTGACGTGCGTGGAGTAGATGTTTGGAAATCAATCGGCCATGAAAGACAGGAGGGTGAAGCGATGCCAATGTGTTTGCAAGCATGAGACCACGGGTCTAAAGGTCACAAAAAGCTGGGTCAGGATAATATGTCATTGAAGTTTCGCATGTGAAGGCATGACGGTTTAATTTGCAGGTCACCAGTTTGGAAGACTTCAACAACTGATCATTTGGCATGAGGTGGAATCGCACAAAAGCCTATAACACAAACACTTCCACCGGGCAAGGGATTCTCGTACACTCACAAGCATGGAGCTTAGGTATATTTTGTTGCTTATTTGTTTACACTGCATGTGTTGACAAACAAATGAATAGCATAAGCACACACAATATCACGCAGTAAATAATCATAAACGCTCATTAAAATACCATCAACATCAACATCAACACTAATGAACGGGACAACACTTACACAACTCGGCGTATGGGCGGGTGCGTATAACGCTACGTCATCCTAACCGAAATGGCAGGGGGGCATCCGTTATTACCTCTACATCCGGTCTAACGTAGCGCACACACGCTACGGGACAGATGTCTAGAAATTTAAACAAAGGAAACTTTGGAACGGGCCTTCTACTCAACGTGGGTTCGATCATAAACAACTAAAAACATAGGACAACATTGGACTCAAGTACGATGATAATGATGAAGATATTAGTTTTATAGGCACCCGGACTGCACTCGTCATCGACGTCTTCGAACTACGAGTATAGTGTATTCGTGAATAAACATTCATGATTCAATCTATGCATCATAGCATGAAAAGATTTAATAATGAGTGGCGATATAAATTCAAATTTCATACCATTTGAAAAGCAGTCTGCTTTTAGAACGCGAGTGAATAAAGCCATCCTAACGAGGGACGTTTCCAATTTAGCCTTATGGGTACTTTACATAAGGCCCCACCATTATATGCAAACAAGCATAGGTATGTTGATACGCATCAAACTGAGAGCGTCGGCCACAGTGGTTCCAACTCAGCGATATTATATAATATCACACGGCCAGCGGGAGGCACCGATGGTAAAACTCCCGTTCGTGTCGGGATAGCCACCCTGGCTAGGAGCGAACAAAGCCAGCGAGGATCACGAGGGATACGCTGCTCAGATCCCTAGGGCGGTCTCAGAAAAAAAAAAAAAAAACGTTACGGGTTCAAAGCTTCACACAAAACTTCAGAGCAGAGAAGTTTTGTAGTTATGTAGTTGTATGTATGTTGTACCGCTCCCCTATGTAGTTGTACCGCTCCCCAGGCCATTCACAACCTCGTCAGACCAACATACCCGTGCACTAGCTGCAGGAGCAGCCCGAGGGCAGAGCTGACATTCGCTTCCATCCAACGTAGTAAACGGACCCCGCCCTCCGCTCCACGCCGACACGCACTTGCACAAACTGCGCCCCGCCCCCGGCATAGGAACGACATGCATGCCCCACACAAACTGAGAGCATCGTGAGCAAAACAAGGGGACGACGGACAATCCTTCCGACCGCTGAACTTAGCTGCATCGTATACCATTCGGCTTCAAACCAGTCTAGCTCGGACAAATGGAAGTCAAAACCTGTCCAAAACAGAGCCTAACAACAACGAAAGCTCTTGAAGCACCACTGACCCTGTGAGTTCGCCTGGGGCCTGTTTTGGAATACAGTCTTCGCCAATGTCCTCGAGGAGTGCCCTGAGGCAGTATGGCTGACCTGTGCCCTGACCCGGGTCGTCCTCGTACCGCCCCCGGCTGTTCCTGCCCGAACCTGTCCCGTTCAGCAACGGCGGCGACCGACGCTACAAACTCCGAAAATTGCTCCTGAGAGCACTCATTCAAACCGACCTCAGAAGACGGTGGTAGTACAGAAACCGACGAAACTTCTTACACTGAAGGACAAATAGAAGGGCTACGTGGATCCAAAAGGAAAATTCCAAAAATCACCCAAAAAGTGTACGAAATTTTCACTTTCCTTATTGATTTCACATTCGAAATCATCAACTTTCAACTTCAACCAACGCTCATATCTTTTCTACCATACGAACCCTCCTGAAAACTTCACACCATGTAGTCAAACTATTTCTGCGTCGATCGGTACCAAAATCATCTCGGTGACCCGGCGTGGTCAGGTCAGGTCAGCGCCGCCACCAGGGGTACAAGCACACGCTCGGGCCGGGCGGCAGGGGTGACTGGCGAGCGGCGGCGGCTACGAGCGGACTCGTTCGTGGCCGTCGGCGGTCCGCCTATAAAGGCCGGTCCGGCGGTGGGCGGCGCAGAACGCGCTCAGCCGCCGTAGAGGTCACATCGCTCCGTGTGTCACGTGCTAGTGTTCAACATGTCTGCGAGTCCCGCTAAGAAGGCCGGAGCCAAGAAGGCCTCCAAGCCGACCCATCCTCCGACCCTGGAGATGATCACCAAGGCAATCAGCACGGAGAAAGATCCCAAGGGAACGTCGGTGATGGCCATCAAGAAGCACATCCTGGCGCACAACCAGATCAAGTCGGCCCAGCTGCTCAACCACATGCTCCGGAGGGCGTTCGAGGCTGGTCTGGCTGCCGGCAAGCTGACCCGACCTAAGGGTCAAACAGACTCATCGCTGCTCGCTGGACGCTACCGTCTGGCTGCCGCCAAGGCGAAGAAGCCCAAGGCCGCGACGGACAAGCCCAAGAAGGTCGTCAAGAAGGTGGCTAAGTCCCCAGCCAAGAAGGCCAAGTCGCCCGCAAAGAAGGCAGCAAAGTCTCCTGCCAAGAAGGCCAAGTCTCCCGCTAAGAAGGCGGCAGCCAAGAAGCCCAAGGCGAAGTCGCCCGCAAAGAAGACTGCGGCCAAGAAGACGAAAGCTGTGAAGAAGCCGGCGGCCAAGAAGACCCCGAAGAAGTCACCCGCTAAGAAGGCGGCAGCGAAGAAGAGCCCGAAGAAGGCGGGAAAGAAGTAAGCGTTCTGTTCCGTGCTTTGATTGTTATGTTACGTCGTGTGTACAAAGTATTTTGTGCTTTAACCATAATCATTCATATTGAAGGATATTTGCGAGCAGTCATAGCGCAGGCGGGGCCAGCGGTCCCGGGTTCGAATCCACCAGCGAGCCAGTGTTTGTCTGTGTCCTTTGAGGACGATCTCACTGCTGGGGGGAGGGATACGCCACCATCACAGAATATAATGTCATTTGAACGAGACGTGCCTTTTGTGACGTGGAAGGGAACTGAGAGACCTGCGGTAACCGGTTGGACCGGTTATGGTTTGGGGCGGGTTTCGTGACGAGTTGGTTTACAGAGCATCACGCAGCGACACACCTAGAAACAAATGGCCGCTACGTACTCGAACGAACACAAATACATGTCGCGTATATACCCCCAGGGCTACAGATACGTGTCGTTTCTATAGACGCAGTCGCATGTGTCGATCTACAATGAAGCGACGCATGGCACGGGTGGGTTTCTTTGTGCTGCTTGGAATCGGAAATACCGCAAACATACACATACTACACAGCGTCTGATACGTCAGCGCGTGGTCGAACATCTGTTTACATTCGGAATCCGGTCCGCCACGTAGAAAACCAGTCATCGGTGGAAGCGACCCCCACCGGACACGATTTGGTAGCCGAGGTCTGTGACGTCAGCCGGGCGTGAAGTTTTCCCTTCACCATAGGCTTTACACACAAACTTGCCGAAGTTCATGCCAGGATAGCCCAGCCTGAAAGTGCAAAAATGATTAAATTTTGCCCTCATTAGATTCAGTGCTTCATTTTATAACTAAAAACGTCCGTTATTAGGCCTCAATGAAGGTACAAAGCACTCAAAATCGAAATTCAAGAAGATGCTGTCCGAGCACAATCTGGTAACATCACGTGACTTCTTTTCAGCAGATTAATGATAATTTCAGGATATATTCACACGATTGCTGCCTAAAACATCATAAATAATACATTTGCAGCATTTATTACTTCCGTTTAAGTCATAACCTTGTAAAATGCAAAGTGTATCATGGTAGTCACGTGACCAAAGGTATAACAGGGGGTTGGGACAAACACTCAAAGGACTTCGAGTTTATTAATTAAAGTATATAATTTTCATGGTGGAATTGAAAGATTGTATTTTTTCCTATTAGCATACAAATTTTTGTATGTAAAATATTTTCCTTACGGGTGAAATTCTCCATATAAGAAATATCAGTGACGTCACCAGGGCTTTACTCAAAACATCGGATCTACCTGTTTATTATAGGTATCTTGGGTGGAAGTTCGTAGTCGAACGTGTTTGTGGGTTACGTGGTAATTGGAGGCAGCCTTTTTGAGTTTTTTAATTTGATATTTCGATATTTTTCAATCTAAAGGTCAAATCATACATTAGAAAAAAGAATTGTTTTTTTTTCAGGCGTTTCTTTTTACGGCACAAAAAGTTTCAATCGTGGTTGATGCAGTACTCAATCGCCGCTTCACTCCCATTACAGCGTGAGCTTCACGGAAAAGCGAGCGCGTTGGCCGAAGGTCGGGGGTCGGGATAGGGATTCTGGTAACTTAAAAAAAAAGACCGCAAAGCAATGACTTTGGGCTCAGGTAATAACATAAACTTCAGTATTTGTCGTAACTAATGTGGCATCTTAGATGAAGACCTTGGAGCTAGACCACCTTAAAAAAAAAACGATTAACGAGCAATAGCCTTTGGTTCATGGCAGTTTATTGTGGCAAAAGAATTGTCGATTAGATAAGCCTTCTAATCAGGGGTGCGGAGCCGGAGCCGGAGCCGCCGGAGCCGGCATATTTTGCCAGGAGCCGGAGCCGTGAAACAATATAGCCCGGAGCCGGAGCCGTCAAAAAAGGGGGCGACTCCGGCTCCTTTTCTTAAGAGGAAACATAGATAACAGTAGAACAGGAAACAATTATTTACCAAGCTCGGTTTGACAGTACAAGGCGTAAAACAATGTGGTATTCAAAATAGCCTTGTTATACAAATACAGAAGCAACGTGTACCAATCCCATCGCCTTTTTCTTCCACCCGCATTTAATTGATCGCATAGGGGATGTACTGAGTAGAAGCCGGAGCCGGAGCCGCTGGAGCCGGATCATTTTACTCGGAGCCGGAGCCGGAGCCGCCATGACATTTCACCCGGAGCCGGAGCCGGAGCCGGAGCCGAAGCCGTCTGAAATTTCCACGGCTCCGCATCCCTGCTTCTAATGATTGGAGCCTTCGAAACATATCGTTCCGACGCATAGTAAATAGAAAACTGCTTTCCACTGTAACTAAAATAAGCTCTGACATGATATGCCTGAATTTGTCACGATGCATTCGGAGAAGCAAATTATATTTACATCTGTGGAGCCAGTTTTCATCGAACTAGAAGAGGCGAGGGTGACGAATCGGGTTCGATTTATCGTGGGATACCCCAGTTATGTGGCCACGCGGCCGTCAAAAGGCCGAAATACATGAATACAGGGGAGTTGAGTCCTTCGTGATCAGCTGTTTTACCGAATTGAAGCAAAACACATCAGTGTGCCCAAAATCCCGACAGAAAAACGTTTAACGATAACTGAGCACCGCTTTCGGACCCGGACGGTTGTCAGGTAAAGGAAGAGAAAATTCTAAAAACTTTGCACAGAAAATGTATTTACTTTTTGTTGCCATAAAAGCTGAACGGTTGATAATCTTGGTTACATGTATAACTAAAGCCTACAAGCAGCAAAAGAAGCTAAAGAGAAGGTTAGACGACCTTACTCATTATGGTATGTAGGTATTAACTTGAAATGGATTATAGAAAGTCACTAATGTCCCATCTGACCTCATATCAAGCTTTTCGGCTGCTGAGTCACACAGCATTTCACTAGCCGAGCTCCTCTTCATAATCTGAGATCTGTAAGGTGCGATGGTAGCTTGGTGCACTTTGACCCTTGCAGAAGCACTATAGTTCGTTTTTTTTTTCAAAAGGACGCTGGCTCAAAGTATGTTTTTCGAACAAGCACGTGTTTTAGCGAGCAAAACGGGCCAAAACTGAACCCGAGAAACTCGAATGTCGCCTTATTTTAACATGTGAATTATTCCCGATAAATTCCATGCCTGCGTTTTGGAACTAGATATGAGAACAGTGGTGACGTCATGCTGTGGAACTTGCATTGCAATGCAATGCATAACTATCATGGAAAGAATCGCATACTCGATTCGGGCCTCGGTAAGAGCAAAAAACGAAGTTTTCCCTAAATTCGTTGGCAACGAATGCTTTCGTACGGACATTGGGTGCCAGCTGCCACCAGTGACGTCATCATAGTATGCTCATTTTTGAAGTCACAATTTCCATGTATTTACCGAGCACAATTTGAAATCGATCATTTTTTCGGCAAGAAATTCTTAGCCAGACGCTGAAGTTGCCAAAACTCACGTGAGAGCTTCAATAATGAACTTTGAGCCAGCGTCCTTTTGAAATAAAACGAACTATAGCACTGCTAGCACGAGGAGCTACACTCCTGCACTGCGTCCTTCAGAAAATGATATCCATGAAAGCCGAACATTGGTCTCGGCCAAGGCCCTACAAAAGCCCCCAAAGAAGATGCACATCCCACCTACCGGTCGCTCCTTGAACTATCATTTCGCCGTTCTCGTCCAGGTGGCCGTACCTACGGCGCTGTAAAGCGTAGCCATAGCTTTATCGTTGCTCCCAGGATGCTAACGAAACTGACGCACACTGCAGCGGAAATCAAAAGTGTTTCTTTGCTGCATGGGTAGGCTGCTAATTAATCAAAGGAATTTCACATAAGCTCTCTCGTACTGAATAGGTGAAGCAAAATCGAGAAAGATATTGTGGATCTGGCCCAACGCGGTCGCTACAATACACAAATATGTAGCTTACAATCCAAATTCAGCGCTTTCAGCTTGGCGCCTGATCCCATCGTTCGGACTCACCTTTGATCAGCGCCTGGTAGTTGATTGGGTTCATCACATATCCCCGGTCCGCCATGGCGGTAGTCAGCTGTTCGATCCTGCGCAGACCGTCAGCGGGCGATGGTCCGTTAGCACAGGCGTTCAGCAGGGCAGTGTACGTGACGTGCTTTGGCTTCAGATGGCGCCGTCGCATCTGGGGACGAGGGATGGGTTAGATGGACACGCTGGGTTTAAAAAAAGACGATGATTGGTGTCGTAAACCGGCCTATGAACTATGATCATTTTTTAAGCCCAGCCTGAAGCAAAAAGTGTTATCGATTTCATACCGGCTGTAATTCAGTTGCAATCTACCTTTCATTCCTACCTATTCCAACACATGTCATTTGGCTCATCCAAAAATCGCATATCCGCAAGGCAACTAGTAAGCTCTTTACGGCCCTTCAATCCCCCCCCCCCCCCCACACACACACACACTTAAAAAAGCCCGGGACTCACGTCTCTGTAGAGCTTGAAGGCCATCTTGGCGTAACCGGCCTGAGCACATCCCGAGATGAGGATGTTGTAGCAGTAGGCGTCAGGCTGCAGTTTATCCACCAGCAGCATCTGGTTGTTGAACAGCTCCAACGCCTCCCGAAGCTGTAAACGTAACATGTTTGAGTTGAGGTGTATGGCGGCGGATCATTTTTGCTTTTTGCACTGTTTAATAAATAGTGTGCATTGTATGGAATAAAACCTCGTCTATGGAGTAAAACCTCGTCTAATTCACATTACAAGCTCAGAAACAGCTAGCAAATACTACATTCTGAGGACCATACACAGAAACTAAACGAGCAATGACAACCGGAGCTCACTGTATATCAAATACACAGTTCTAACAATATTTCAAACTCACACGAATACACGGCTCACCTTCCCATTTTTGACCATGCGTTTCAGCTTCCTGCCATAGGCATGACACGATATCCCCAGCTGGGGCACCTGTGACACCACCTGACGAAGCCGGTCTGCGGCCACGTCATCGGCGTCATCGGGCTCCAGTTCCCAGTCGATGACACCACCACTGGCAGCTGAGACGTCAGGGCCATTGTCAGCGCCATCAGTGGATGATGTGGCTGGGTTTGTTTGGGGACCGGAGGGCTGAGCAGATTGACGTTCTAACCCACGGGCGTCCTGCGCTTCCCCACGAGTATCCCGTCCTCGGGATGAGTGGACGTCTGTACTGGGCCAAGTCTCCCGAGCAGCAGAGGAAAGATTATTGCGATCTGATCTGCCAAGGGACTGACGGTGACCTGTGTGAGCTGAGTTCCATTTCAGAACTTCCATGTCATCCTGTATTCTGTAAGGAACAGTTTTGTGCCTGCTTCCCTTTGCATTAGGTAGGCTGTGGTTGCCATACTTATCTTGGTCGTGTAAGTCAGCTCCAAAGCTCGGTTCTGAATCTTCAACAGAATCATTTTGCCTTGGTTTCTCCAGAGGCTTTTTCAAGTCACCGAATGTGTCTGGGTCACCAAAGTCATGCAGAGCTCGTACAAGGGATGGGTGTCTGGTACAGAAAGATTGTGGCTGAAGCGTGCCATGTGTTCTGACCAGCCTACTGAGCAGTACGTGCAATGACCTCATCTTCAGAACACCAACACTTGATGCTTCAGAAATCTGGTAAAGTTATCTTGCTGAGATTGAGATAGCTCTGAAACAAAATGCACATCATTTGAGTCAACATACAATATTAAGACATCAGAAACAACAAAGCATAGGTGATTTAACTTCCCGGACATTTTATCAATGCTCAGCTTGTTTGAGCAAGTATTAAGCAAAATAAAGCAAGAAATATAATTATAATTATGCTATTGGCAATGGGCAGGATTCAAACAAAATTCATATAAATTGTGTGGCAATTTATCAAGGCCGAAGGCGTTTACATATAGCCTTGGCGTTTACTTACCTATCGTAGGAAATGAAACACCAAAGCGTTGTAGGATACCTAATCACTATTTCTACGTGAGATGGAACACTAAGTTTTGTGGAACGTATATCCAAACACTAATCACATCCCAATACACGTGCAATGTGCGGGCCGTGCGGGCGATCCTGCGGGCGATCAACTAATCACGAAGCACCACTCGAAGCACGGAGCATGACTCATAATGTTCTTTCACATACCGGAAACACTGCTTTTGGAAAACGTTGCGGAAAAGACTGTTCATTGATTGGACTAAAGTTTTTTTTTTGTACAATGAAAGCACAATTAGAACACCACAATCGTAAACTATGCGTCAATTACCATCCCATCTGGTAGCAGTCAAAGAAAGCGCTACCAAATTGTATAAAGAAAAAGTAGCAAAATCACCTTTCCCTACAATCTAAAGCATAGCGGATGGCAAAGGGAAAAGCATAGCTCCGATTTTTGTGCCTTTCGTTTGATTTCGCGGACTTTTTGAAAGCTGAATGGTGACTAACTGAACAATTAACACAACATATATTCATGAGATCACCCCGTGTGTCATCCCCACCAAGGTTTGAAGTGGTAAGGTAACCGTAAAGTACAGCCGTTTGTGTCTTGTGGCAAGCTGAGGGCCTTGCAACATCTGTTACTTTTATCATGCCTACGATGCAATAGAAGTCTTTGCATGCCATCTGCCATAGCTTATGACCACCAATCTGATAATCTGTAGGTATACGGCCTGGCATTCAAATTATTTGTCGGGTCCGCTACTCCGATAACGGCAACTGAAGAACGGTCAGTCCGGGAAAAACGCAATAGGTGATGACGGTGTAAAACTGAAGCGCTATCGCGTCGACTTATCGCCCATGGCACGGACAAAGCCCACGGCCCACGCATCCGGCTCACTTCAGTAAACGAGAGTAGTCAACAAGGACGCGCGCACTTCAATGATCGTATGAATGGTTGGAATGTTAGTGCGTGTAGTATGAATGCAGATTTACGAGCTGCTGGACATAACCAAAAAGTATGTACCTGCTTTACACTTAAGAACTACTTTTATGCTAGATAACTTATACCTGATAAGTCAGAAATTGCTGCTTAGCTAGCAACAAAATATCACTGTCAAGTGCCAGCAATGCAAATATTCCCAAAATGTACGAGACTTGGTTACGTTTATTTTCTCGGGTTTGCAGCTTATGTACACAAAACGAAGGATACAAAACAAACAGTGGATACAAAAATATACATTCGTCACCACTTTTCTGTCGGTATATTTGTAAAACAATCACAACACATAAATATGATGATAGTTCGAGCCACTCATTGATCTCACCGCTTTCGTCGATGTTCTGACGGCCACGACTCACTCTCCGCTCTCATATGCGGGATTGATCGTTGCCGTATTGCCTAGTGATGACCGTTTGGAAGGAGCTCGCTCCGTTTGGGCCTTCCGGAGGTCTCTGCGCAGTGCTAGTAGCGCCAGAACGTAGATAAGAGCTCCTAGAACGTACTCTCCGGGATAGAACAGGTACAGTGTGTCTGAAAAAGGTTTTGACACTCTCAGTTACGGCAGAAGCACATAATCTACCGGGCAGAAAAGATGCATCAAAAGAATCACCTTTCTATGTCGTAAAGAAGGTGACTATGCTTCTTGTACTGACACTTATACTCGGCGTTTTGACGAACATTTATCTTTTTAGGAAAATACATTTCTAATCAGCTTTGCGGAAGTTTTAGCTTTTAGATTTAAAAATAAAGTTTATAGTTTTGATTAAGAATATAGTTTTATAAACCTGATATCGACACTTAAGTCTTTACTGCATTTTTTTTTTTTATAAATTTAGTCCGAACCTTTTGATGGGAAGGATTCACAAGGACAGGGCCACGGCTAAGCGAAGCTTGTTGCGGTGACCCTGCCCTCTACCCTCCGATCGCGCAATTCCGGTTCTATTGGCAGAATTTAGAGGCCAAAGTTTAACGTGCGCACATAGCCGCGCACGGCCGGTCCCCTCACTGACTTCGCCTGGCTACGGCCTGCCACCAACCGCAACCATACCTGTCAGGAGGCCCATAAATGTCAAGCGCCCGTCGCGCTTCGAACCCGGACTGTTATAACCGGGAACGCGTGCTCTCACCACGCGGAGTCCAACGCTCTACCAACTGAACTACGGGACCGGCAGTATGTTCAGTAAGGACTTTGCCGTAAGTAAGGACTTTATGTTCAGTAAGGTACAATCAACGGATGCCCGACTATGAAAAAGTTAAAGCAATGTTTTCCAAACGAACAATTTTCCCCAGGAAAATCCGGCACCGAAATGAATTGTGTTTCACTTTCATGCCTACAGCCCAAGCCATCCACTGACCTCTAAGAGCCTCGACTTCCGTATGACCAGCGTTCTTGAAGGCCTGTTTCACGGGGTTGACCAGCAGCGGCATGTTACCGCCGATGTTGGTCGTTATGAAGAAGTAGAGGGCGACGATGGTGGTGCGAACCTCAGCTGGGACTAGCTCTACCAGCACAGCCAGCGTGATCGGGATCCACATCTCACCTGCAGGGCAAAGTCACGTGTTACTATAGGAGAAGGATTTACGAACGTTGATGCGAACTGCTTGCCGGCGTAAAGGAGATACTAAAGTTAGAGCGTGAGGTTTAATTCTTTACTTCTTACACTGCATGAAAAGTTGGTCACGTGATGAAAAAGCAGGGCTTCCGAGAAGTTTATTACTCTAACAGAGTACCTTGCTTGATAATCATGTGGCTTTCCAAATTGGTACGTCATTGGATTTAGCTCAGTGCTTTGTACTGCGAGGCATTTACTCTCTTACCGATGATATATGAAAGTCGGTATGAGGCTGACGTAGTAGGCCCTAGACAACTCGACTCACCGATGATATAGGTCGGTATGAGGCAGACGTAGGCCCATGGTGGCTCCAGGAACAGCACGCAGAACACGAACGGCGCCGCCAGCAGCTGCGAGGCCACGATGACCCAGACGCGGCCGTGCGGCCCGACGCGGCTCACCACGCGGTCCGAGACGAACCCGCCGACCAGCACTCCCACCGAGCCAGACACCATCGGTATCCACGACATGTAGGTGCCGATCTGGGCCGGGGTTTGGCCGATACTCTCAAAGTACGTCTCCGTGTTGTAAGACCACACATAACCGGCAGCGTTACGTATCGCCCCACCAAAAGAGAGGAGAAGAATAGAAGGACGGCAGAATAATCTGATAACCTGAGGAAGCTTCTTTACGAGTGAGGCTTGCGGAGAGTCTTTGGAGGCGGTGACTCCTGACCGCGGAGGCTCTCGGAGTGTGAACAACATAACTATGCTGAGGATGATACCCGGTCCGCCGGACACGAAGTAGGCCCACCGCCAGCCCTGCCGCAGGGACGGGACGTGATTAGTTGGAGAATAATGATTGGTAAAGGTAAATGACACGAATATAGCATAAACTGACGCATGAAATAGAGAACGCTTTTATAATACGGGAAATGAATAAAACTGTTTCCAAGAAAAGGCATCAGCTTGGTAACAAAACAAAATAAAAAAAACTCAATAGCAGTCGCCGATAAGAAAACCCTGTTCCCTCTATCTTCGCTTTACCCTGTTCCGTCTATGATTGAAAATTATTCGAGTTAAAAATATGACACTTATATAACCTACTTTGATATGACGCCAATCTGCTTTCACCACCGTTAACTAGAGATAACCCTGGCCGTCTTTCTCCTTTCCCGCATTCATTCATTCATTCATTCATTCATTCATTCATTCATTCATTTATTCATTCATTCATTCATTCATTCATTCATTCATTCATTCATTCATTCATTTATTGATTCATTCTCACCATGCCCATTATATCCGCTTCCGTGATGAAATTTCCAACGGCGTACGACAGCGAGTACCCGAAGTAGATGCCCCAGTTGTAGACGCCGAGCGCTGTGCCGCGCAGCTCGGGACTGAAGTAGTCGGCCAGCAGCGAGGTGGCGAACGGCGTGCAGCCGGCCTCGCCGAACCCGACTCCGAACCTCAGCGCCGCCAGCTGCCAGTACTGCTCGGCCAGGCCCGTCAGCACCACGCACGTCGCCCAGACCAGGAGACAGCCGCAGAGTAATAACTGCCGAAAACAACGGGAGAGACCAAGGCCTTATTTGCACTTCCGAATGGGTCTAAGAAGACGCCGCCTAGAAAAGTTACGGCAGAAACTTTGGAAGGTGACCAGTAATATGTCGACCAGCGATAGTTGTGAGCGAATTGGCGTCTTCATATGATACCGCACATATCGGTACTTCTTATGTGTAGTGCAATTATAGATATCTGCTGATCAACAAATTCGACCATCTAAGATAAATGCATACCCAATAAAAATGTACATACACTAGGTGTTTATAAAAACATTCACATAGGTCGAAGAGGCTCTGTTACAGGGTTGTGCTCGACTCAAAAAAATTTGCCGACTCGACTCATCATTCAACTTCAGAATGCTCTGACTCAACTCTGACTCAAACAAGGAGCTGATTTTTTCCCTTGACTCGACTCATGACTCAAGCGGCTCAATGAAAATATGAGTTGACTCAAACTTGACTCAAATTTTGTGTTGAGTGAAGTGTGTGACTCAAAATTGACTCAGATAAAAAAGTTGTTGAGCGGGGGGGGGGGGGGTGAAAAAATCCGGCAGCAGGGCCAGGCCTTAGTTGTTAAGCGGGGGGAGAATGAAAAACTTATACTTTATATTGTTTCTAGAAAGTTGAGTCAGCTGGCTCATGTTCCTAAATGTTTTTGACTCAACTCAATGTCAAAAGTTATTTTACTGACTCAACTCTGACTCAACTCAACACCTTAATATTTTTGTCCGACTCAACTCTGACTCAACTCAACAGCTCAACATTTTATCCGACTCGACTCAAATCTGACTCATTTGAGTCAGAGTTGAGTCAAATTTCTGACTCGACTCATGAGTCAAGCACAACCCTGCTCTCTTACCTTTCTGTTGTAGAGATCAGCGGCTATTCCCAGCGGCACCCCGGCTATGGTGTAGACCAGCACGAAGATGGGCCCGGCCAGGATATCGTACTGGGTTCCAGTACCGGTATAGTCCCATTTGCAGCCCGCCGAGCCGCCAGCGTCCAATAGAGATAGACATCTGTTGTGATGAAATTTTTACTGATCAAACCACAGAGCTGGAATGCCTATTTAATTTTAAACCAGAACGGTAACAAGTAAATTAATGGACGGTATAAATAATTAGTAACCCTGCTTTTATCCTCAATCCTGGGAACGTAAATGTGGATATCAGCAAAAGTCCGGTTCCTTTACCGAGCCATGCGGTAGAAAGATAAGAAGTATACGGCCTCGTAATCACTTTGTCAAGTGTCGGCGGAACGCGTGTGTTATTTTTTAGGTATTGACATAGGATGGCCTACGTCAGCCGTACGTCATTTGGAGCATAATTTATGAGCCTCCTATATTTTCTTTTGTTTATTGATCCGTCATAATTTTTAACGAGACGGTTAGGTACTAACGGATCAACCCCCCGACAACATGACTCGACGCTTTGTCCGAGCACCTCTGTTCAGAAAAAGGCGGCGATCTTATATCGCATTTGACCCGTGTCCGGGTAAAGAAAGTAATCTTGGGGGGTCTCAATAAATTTCGCCATGGTGGGTGGGGAGGGGTATAGGGTGGCAATACTGATAATCTTGAACACTGAGATGGAAAGAAGCGGAGAGAATAAGGTACTTTTGGAAGTGAGCAAGGACATGTTTTTGCTAGGATAATTTTTTCTCAATGCTCATTGCCACTCAGATCTTTGAAAGCCACCAAACGTCAAGCTGCCCAGCAACAAGCGGCCAATATGGAGATGAGGATAAAAGCACTCGCATTGCATGCATCTTTGTAAGAGTAAACAGATCGTCTTATGACTGGTAATGAACAATGATTCGTAGAGTCAACAGCGTTTAGTACTTTAGATTAGTGTAGATTAGTGCAAATCTCGTCCAAAGTCGATTATGGCAAATCGCTCCCATGCAACGCCCAAGGATGTACCTAATGTTAAAGTAAACATCACTGAAAGGGCACATTTGTTCCCGTTTCGTACTAGCAAAGCCCATGCAATACCCATGCAACTCCCGCCATACCACTTCACTATCCAACTCACGTTGTCCTGTCGGTACAGTTTGAGCAGTTCGTCTCCTCCAATGTGGACGATACCGTGTCATTCAGCAGACACCCCTGGTCACCGAAATGAATATCCTGTGCCGAAGGTCTCGCCACGACAGCCAGCATGTAGCGATCCAGCTGGTTCAGCAAGTAGACCACCAACAGCAGGGCCAAGACGTAGAGACTGTATCCGGAGGAGCGCAGCAGAAGGGCGCGAAGACCGCCCGAGGGGGCCGGTTTGGGGGAGGATGGAGGGACAGCCGACTCGGCGTCCTTTAGGGAGTGGTCAGAGTGGTGGGATGAGCGTCGCTTCATGGTGAAGCTGTTGTGTGTGTGGCCGTTTAGAGTGAAGTGGCTACCGGCTAGGGAAGATGCCGCAACGAACGTGAAACGGCCACCGGCCACAGCCTGACGGTGCCTTCGATGCTGGCCCAAGGTATTTGCAGAGTGCTTATCAGAGTTCAATTTTCACATAAGTAAGTGAACAAAAGCATGATTCGATTGCGCAAAATCACAGTTATCTTTGTGGAAATACGCATCTACCCAGGTGCGTCAGTTCATGTGCTAGTGTGTTTACAGAGGTCTATGGCTAGTGGTAACGGATGTACAATCTGTTGATTCGCAGATATCTGTGTATCAACGATGATTAAATCTATCGTATCTTACGTAGGGTGCTCAACAAACGTTTATTGTCTGATATCGGCTAAAGTTGTATGCAATGGGCCTTTAAACCATGTCATCTTCAGCAATGACGAGATGCTATAAAACGTGCAACCGGAGATTCTGACCAATGAACACCTCAGAGTAGGCTGCCAGGTCGGTCCTCAGAGACACTAACTCCTAAACAAACTCTTATCGTTATGGACTCAGCTCGACCACTTGCTCTTTTCCGCTCCTTCCTTCCAGAAGCACTGCGATCGTTGCACAACACCTAGATCACCGCCGAGATCACAGCTTCCGCCCAGTTGCCGCCAGTCGTCAGGTCTGGTGGGCACTTTTCGACAACTGCTGGAGCCTCGTGAAGCGCGGTCTGGCGAATGATCGGATCTCTTCGGCGCGGGCCGACGACTAATCGGGGCTGATCGCCGATCGCCAATGCTCCAAGATCAGCGGGGCCACGGAGATCGGCCCTATCGGGGCGTTTGTATCGCTGCCCCGAGGTGGCGAGCGGGCCCACTCACGGGGGCCAGAAGCGGAGAACACAAGTGCCCACTTGGCAGCTATATGTTTTATCGTATTCGCATATACCTACCTATTTGCACGTGGGTATGGTCATCGCACTTTGTCGCTTGCGCCATGAATTTTTGAGCATCCATCCTAAGAGAGGGGAAGTTCTTCGGGTCTATTTCAATCATTTGTGCGTGGTGATTTCTCTTAAGTCATGCTCAACAAGTAATTTTCATATACCAGATGCGCTTTTCTCATAAAGACCTACATACGCGGGGGAAGTTTGATTACGGTCTGATATTATCGTAGCACCGTATCTGACCGTGAAAATTTGAAGGCAAAGGAAGCTTTACATACCCAAATCTCCCTCGGTGGATCTGCCTTCGGCTTTGCCTGTGCAGCTTTGGGTCATGGTTTAGATATTATTCGATGCAAATTTACATATTAGGTATAACGTATGTGTGAAGGTGCCCCTGCGCGTTCAAGCCCATTTAGGAACAAATCCGATTGCTTTGGCACATAGGTATACTGCGTCCTGAACATCAACAGTCAGCATGTACTTATATAAAAAATGTTAAAACTAGAATAAATACCTACCTAATGGGAGACAATCATAACGTATCATGGATGTGTGAAAAAACACACACAAAAAACGTAACTTTTTTACATGTACGTCCACGAAAAGCCCAGAGTCAAGAAGGTAAATTTGAACCAAATGTCATTATGAGTTTGCGTTTTTCATGACGAGCACTAGAAACAAGATCGTTCCCAATACTAAAGCTGCAATCCCATGCACGAATAAGTTGAACTTTCTCCTCGAGATCATGTGAAGTGGTTACCAGTCCACGCGTGATTGACATAATAACACATTTATCGACATCAACCACTTATGTGCAGGCCGCCATCCCTCCCCCACTCTTGTCTGAGCGCTTACCGACACAAGGCGTCCGTTCATACATCCTCACTGATATCAATCTCAGTGGGTGGACCTCAGCTGGCAATGATCCCACGGAGAGACGACAGGACAATCTGTCAGCAGTGGTGGACGGTGGGACTCGCAGTTCGGACCGCACGACCGGTCACTCCGGCGACCTCAGTGACATCGGGAGGTCTGTGGTGACTTGGTGACCTTCGTGATTCTGGCGACATCACCTAAGGAACCCGAGGACGTAGGCAGCTACAGCTGGTCAGGAGAAACTGAAGGCCAGGAGAACCCGTTGATCTGAAGAACTCGGTGGTTCAGAGACCTAGGGTGACTTCGCGGTACATCGTTAGCCTCGGGATACATAGGTGACCTTCGCGCCTCGACGACCTTGGCTGTCCAGGGCGACCTCAGAATACCTAGGACCTGAAAGTCCGTTCATCTGGCACACAGGAGATCTCGTCGACCTTGATATCCCAGGTGATTGAGACGCCTTGACGGCCCAGAAGAGCTCGTTGACCGAAGACGTCGGTGAGCTCAATGTCTTTTAGGAGCGAGGACTGTGGCTCCAGTATAGAAAGCCCAGCGGAAAAGGGGATACCGAAGCGTAGAATCTGAGGTTCTTAATGAAAACAAGTAGCTGTGCGAGATCGATTCAGAATATTCCCATCAGAAGTGACTACAAGAGAAGCACATCCGGAGGATCCATTCCAAGATCACAGCTCATCCCAGTTAAGATAAAGATCCTAGCAGAAGCGCGAAAAGGATCGCACAAACAAGTAATTTAGCTTCGCAGCAGCAAACCTGAAGGGAAAGCAAACCTCGAAGACCTGGATTCATCACACCCGTGATCTGACGCAACCAACACAGAACGCTTCGTTCTGTGGGCTTCAGCTCAGCCATCTCTCACCATATCCAGATCCACTATATATTGATCTAATCCTTCATCATGGCGCAGCGACGGGCCTCACGTCTATCCGAGCACTTTCCGACGGGCTGCGAGTTAGCCGTCCCGACATCCCTCCCGAAACCGGCACCTTCCGGTGGCATCCGCGCCCTTCTCCTGCGATCCTCCGGCTACAGTCTCTACGTCTTGGCGCTGTTGGCGTTCACAAACTTGCTGAACCAGCTGGATCGGTACATGCTGGCTGTCGTGGCGAGGTCTTCGGCTCAGGAGATCCACTTCGGCGACCAAGGGTGTCTGTTGAATGATACGGTCCCTTCTACCTTAGAGGAGACAGATTGCTCAAACTGTACCGACAGAACGACGTAAGTTGGATGGTGGAACACGGGTTGTTGGATGTTGTTTTCTATGCGGAAACTTCGAGGTACAGCCCACCGCTAAAGTAATGTAGGGTTTTATCAATCTCAACGGTTGGCTTTGACTGGCGATTGTTTAATGCGGAGTGATCGAAAAGAAGATGTCAATAGCTAAAGTTGCAGCTGCAAGGGTGACGATACATATAAGCTACATTCAAAGTTTCATTGTAGTCTGGCTAATCGTTGCTAAGCTTCAGAAGCAGAACATACCCATGACTGAAACCCCACATTACTTCTGCTGTGGACTGTACCTCGCAGGAAAAGCTACGTCGCAACTCGATGCCCATGAGAATTTAGAATTGTGGTATCGTTACAACAGATATAACATCTTTGGGTAGTCTTCTAACATGCTATTTAAACCACAGCATAACGATAGGTGTGCCTTCCTGGATCAGTTGATTTCCTACATACACTTCGTCCATTGCAGATGTCTATCTTTGGTGGACGCTGGCGGCTCAGCAGGCTGCAAATGGGACTACACCGGTACCGGAACTGAATACGACCTGCTGGCTGGACCCATCTTCGTGCTAGTGTTTACCATAGCGGGAGTGCCACTGGGAATAGCCGCTGATCTGTACAACCGAAAGGTAATGTGAAACAGGTGGGTATTGTAGAAGGGAGTAATGTAACGCCGACCTGACAGGCCAGAAGAGAAGTAGGTACCTAACGTAAGCCGAACTGCGCAAGACAAAAGCAGCTCATGGAAAGGGTGGGGTCTGGTCCAACAAAACAGTTGGCTAGCCCTAAAATCGGGGAAAGGTATGGTCATGTCCACAGATTGGCCTTGAAAGAGGTAATTTTAACCTAACCATTCACCTCTACTCTTCGAAGTTGAGGAGCTGTAGATGCCACTTCGTTCCACGCCTGGCGCGGATATTGTAGTACCACGACTGGGAATGCGGTAAAAGGATGAGGTCGGCGTATGTAAGGTTCAGGATGTCCGCCGCCTTTCGAACCAAACGGGACTTCCGAAAGGCCGTGCCTCGGAGAGCACCGATTCGACATAGCAATCCTTTCTCTCTCCCAACAGTTGCTACTCTGCGGCTGTCTGTTCGTCTGGTCCACCTGTGTGGTCCTGACGGGCCTGGCTGAGCAGTACTGGCAGCTGGCCGCGCTGAGGTTCGGAGTCGGGTTCGGCGAGGCCGGCTGCACGCCGTTCGCCACCTCGCTGCTGGCCGACTACTTCAGTCCCGAGCTGCGAGGCACAGCGCTCGGCGTCTACAACTGGGGCATCTACTTCGGGTACTCGCTGTCGTACGCCGTTGGCGACTTCATCACAGAGGCAGATATTATGGGAATGGTGAGCAGTCGAGGGAAAAGAGGAGAGGTGACGCCTGACGGAACGCCCTAACGAAAGCACACAATAAGAGCCAGGCTATGAAATGGGTTCCTGAATACAGATTGCCGTTCTCCAAACTTCGCTACCTATAATGTAACGCACAACCACCGTTCAACCTTCGGACTATGACGTCCTCTTTGATATTCTCTTGGTCACCTTCGGGTGTCATTCTCCATAAGTGTCAGTGAACTATCGAAAGTCCATTCTGCTAAGTAAATGGCCTCTCTGTATTTGAGATCTTTATGCTCCTGACCACTTGCGCCTGCTCTTCTTCCAGGGTTGGCGATGGGCGTACTTCCTCTCTGGCAGTCCTGGGATCTTGCTCAGCTTCCTCATGCTTTTCACACTTCGCGAACCACCTCTAACCGATCTACCTCCGCCCTCAGACTCCTCAACATCCCAGGACTCCCTCTTTGGGAGACTTCCTCATCTTCTTCGCATGTTCTTCCGTCCATCCATCCTCCTCCTTTCCCTGGCCGGAGCGATACGAAACGCAGCCGGCTACGTCTGGTCCTACAGTGCCGAGACATACTTCGAGAGCACCGGACAAACCCCGGCCCAGATCGGCACCTACATGTCGTGGATACCGATGGTGTCCGGTTCGGTGGGAGTGCTGGTCGGCGGGTTCGTCTCAGACCGCGTGGTGAGCCGCGTTGGGCCGCACGGTCGCGTCTGGGTCATCGTGGCCTCGCAGCTGCTGGCGGCGCCGTTCGTGTTCTGCGTGCTGTTCCTGGAGCCACCATGGGCTTACATCTGCCTCATACCTACCTACATCATCGGTGAGTCGAGTTGTGTAGGCCCTACGTCAGTCTCATACAGACATACATCATCGGTGAGAGACCAAATACCGCGGAGTGCAGATACCTAGTACCTACTTCATTTGGCAGCTTGCAGTGAGCATCACTTCGAGGATGGCGACTGTTTGAATAAGTCACAAGACAATCGATGCGATGAACAGTTGCAGCGACAGGGAATCAAAGTCCCCCCCCCCCTAAAAAAGTCTAAAAGGCTCGAAAGTATCCGTTGTTAGTACCAACGATATCCATCGTCTGTCAACTTTGTATTGATACACGTCATCCCGACCATGCCCTCCATGTGTCTCAGGTGAGGTATGGGTCCCCATCACGCTCGTCGTTCTGGTGGAGCTGGTCCCGGCCGAGGTCCGCACCTCTGCTGTCGCCCTGTACTTCTTCATTACGACTAACATCGGCGGTAACATGCCGCTACTGCTGAACCCGGTGAAGCAGGCATTCAAGAACGCCGGATACACGGAGGTCGAGGCTCTCAGAAGTGAGTGGCGCGATTACCTGGCTGGTAACGATACTAAGCACTGAGTCTCATGTCAGCTGTTTTGGAGGCTTTGTCCGTCACTTCATGCAGATACTAAAGAACCAAATAAGTGGTGCGAAACATCTTTTAGCCAGGAGCCTTCAAATACCATTGGATGAAGTGTGACTCATAAGTTTGTAACCCAAGCACGGTTAATATTGATTTGTCCTGTGAGAATTGCCACATGTGAAGTGTAGCATATTCGATTCCATAAACGTTACGATCCAGTTCTTTCTAAAGCGTGTCTACAATTCCAACTTCCAACAAAGTTGTAGTTGGAATTACGCCAACTTCTTAACATTTTCGTATTCTTAGTGAGGTGAGTGTGCTGGTATCTGGTAGACCTGTACAATACGTTTGTTTCTCCCTCAGATACTCTGTACCTGTTTTTCCCCGGAGAGTACATCCTGGGAGCTATCGTCTACGTCCTGGCGCTACTAGCACTACGGAGAGACCTTCGGAAGGCTCAAACGGAGCAAACTCCCTCCAAACGGTCATCGCTGGACGGCAAGGGAGAGACAAACCTCGCGTTTGACAGCGCGGAGTGAGTCGTGCTTTCAAACAGCGACTTCCGGGAGGGAGCGAGTATCGTGAATTGTGATGTGACAATACAAGTTTCCAATCTGTAAATTTCATGTCACACCTTGACCTGAATGCCACCATAACTTGACCCATGGGCGGCGCCACCGGGGGGGACGGGGGGGACAGGTCCCCCGCTATCGAAAGTTAGGGGGGTACAGTACCCCCCTATCGGCGAGGCCCGTTCAATAGTTGATAATAATGCATTATAGAGCTATCCGTCGCATTTAATGCATCGTTGGTTAATCAAGGCAGGTTCTGAATAAAGATTGCTGTTGGGATGCATCGCAGGGGGTCCTGGCCATCTGCAAAAGGTGTGGAGCTGTGATGCCTGTAGTTATAAGGTGATCGGCAGGGCCTCGGGGATCGTGCCCCCTTTTTGGGGCGCCAGGCAGGGTTATTACTTATTACCTCCCCACCCCACTGCCAGACCCCATTGCCGATAAAACCAAGTTCACTGAAATTCCATAGATTTCCGTTACTATATGAAAATTTTCCATTCCTAATTAGTCAAATTCAAGCATGGCAGTTCTACCACAGGAACCATTTGAAATCTAGGTATGCCATTTAACCCCAGCACTTGTGGGGAGAAGTGTTCGGATAGATCACAGGCAGGACCAAAAAAGCACGCAGTAGCCCAAGACCTTATAATTGGATATAGCATCGGCTCCCTCTCGTCAAGGGGTTCGATAGCACTCGTTTTTTTTTTCTGCAAAACTAAGTTCGGTCGGCGGCCGAACGGCTGGGGGTCTAATCGAGCCCCCCATCCCTCCCCTTCTTACGTCAGCGGCTGTGAAAATGCCATTACCAGCTGTTGAAACATGGCAGTTGCTTTTGCACGAGTGCACGAAAGGGTTTTAGGTCCGTGATACGTGCAAGGTTCTACATGAAAATTGAGATACACCAGCTTATCAAATTGTGCTCACTGATGGTGCGCTCGGTTTTACCTTGACTAGTCTTTGAATTCTGGGGCGAAACAGACCAGTCAAGAAACCTGTTCCATAAGGAGAGCCACTAATGCTAAAGAGATGTGGGATGAGGTTTCCAGAGACCTTCATTACCTCCCAAAGGGGGTGCCCCGCCATTTGCCAATCCCTGCTGTAGTTGTTACGATTGGAGGGTGAATATGAGAACGATGCAGGTCGTGCCAGCTCGATCATGACGAACACAATGGTGCCGACATCACAGCTCTACTGCCATTTTTGACGAAGTTAATCAACAAGCACCGGAATCCTACCCTGGGGCATTTCACCTGCAGATGTCACCGGACCTGAGACCCTTTCACTCAATTTTTTTCAACGGTGCATCGCTCGTTTTTCCCGCGAAGCTCTTGGCAAGTAAAATCATCAGAAAGTGTGATCAAATAACGGCTGGTGACCTTCCATGACCTAGCGTGACCTTTTGAATGACCACCGATGACATGACCACTGACGGCTAGCCATTAGCTGCACCCTGCCCGTTGCATATGGATCAGGTGGTGATGTCATGATTCTGAAATTATATTGCAGTTTTGGCGCACTTATCAGAGCAGAAGACATTCCCACTTTTCCTCCATGACTATATGATGGTGAAGCCCTGAAGCTGACCAGACGTAAGATCGAAAATTTGAAAGTACGAAACGTGAGAATAGCTGTCACTGCTACTCATACCTAAGCAATTCGCAGCTTGTAGCACTGGCGGATCCTGGGGGGGGTCCACGGGGTCATGACCCCCCCCAAAAGGTCTGAGAGGGTCATTTGACCCCCCCCAAAAGCCGAAGACCTAAATGCGCTATAGACGCCGTCTTGCATGCTCAAAATCACCTGTCAAACACTTCTGAGCTAATACCTTTGTTTTTCTGGATCGTGTTGCGTGAAAAGGCGTATTGAAGACCAGAATCTTACTCGTTTTTGTCTCAACCGTGCGAGCACCAGGGGATGATCCAGGAAAACTCCAAGGGGATGGTCATGAATTTAATTCGTGGTGCCCCTACCTATACGCAAAATTAAAAACTCAACGGATTTCGGTCACTTAATTTTGGTGATGTCCTATTTTCATTTTTTATTTTGTTTGTTTTATTTTTAGTGCCCCTGGGCCCTGGCAGGTCAAAATCACGTCTGAGGCGAAAGAAATTCACGGGAATCCCAAAAATCACGTCAGGACATTCAGGGCCCTCTGACCAGCCTGACAGCTAGGGCCCTTCTTACTTCCTGGGGCCTCCAGTGAATAACCGCTAGTGTCTGTGTCTGACCGCTAGGGCCCCTCTGACTCCTCAGTAGGTAGGAGGCCCTCTGTAGAGGAGGTCCTCTGTAGAAAGGAGGCCCTCAGTAGAGAGGAGGCCCCCTGTAGAGAGGAGACCCCTTTAAAGAGGAGGCCCTCTGTAGAGAGGAGACCTGCTGTAGAGAGAAGGCTCTATGTAGAGAGGAGGCCCTGTGTAGAGAGGAGGCCCTCTGTGGAAAGGAGACCGCCTGAATGCAGAAGGCCCTCTGAAGAGTGGAGACCCGCTGTAGAGAAGAGGCCCTCTGAAGAAAGGAGGCCCTCTGTAGAGAAGAGGCCCTCTGAAGAGAGGAGGCCCTTTGCAGAGATGAGGTCCTCTGGCTCTTTGAAGAGAGGAGGCCCTCTGTAAAGGAGGCCCTCTTAAAGGGAGAGACCCTCAGTAGAGAGGAAGCCCTCTGTAGAGAGGAGGCCCTGTAGCTTCTGTAGTTAAGAGGCCCTGTGAAAAGAGGAGGCCCGCAGTAGAGATCGGTGGTCCTCTGTAGAGAGGAGGCCCCCTCTGTGTTTTGACAAATGTTTTTGCAAATTTTTCGCGGCGCTTCGCGCCGCCGATTTATGTACATACGTACAGGTCAATACGAAATCTTGACTGTAATTACATAAACCAACCGTGTCAAATTGAATCAGAATTCATATGTGTGCTGTAAAGGAACTCCGGCTTGTACTGCAATGCTAAAAGGGTGGTAAAATTTGTGTTTTGGAGCTGTGTTTCGACACATTCTTTTGCAAATTTTCTCGGCGCTTCGCGCCGCCGATTTATACACCAATCAATAAGAGAGAAATAACAGTGACTGTAATAACACTAACCGTGTCAAATTGAATCGGAATTCATATGTGTACTGTGAAGGAACTCCGGCTTGTACTAGCATGCTAAAAAGGTTGTAATATTTGTGTTTTAGAGCTGTGTTTTGACAACTTTTTTTTTGCAAATTTTTGCGGCGCTTCGCGCCGCCGATTCATACACAGGTCAATAAGAGAGATCGTGACTGTATGCTACTATTTACTAATGCATTAGGCTAAAAGTGAGGTAACTATATCTACTTCTGGGTTTTTAAGTCGGTCGACCCGCCTCCCCCCCCCCCCCCAGTAAAAAATCCGTGGCGACGCTCCTATATAGGTGGGTTTCACTAACTAAAACTACTGAGCCGAGTGACTTACGATAAAACTTCATCTTATAAACGACGAAGATCAAATGTCATTTTTTGATCTCGACATACTCGCTCCCTACCCCCCCCCCCCCCCGGTCGTCAGAATTCATTCACCAGACCTGGTATGTCGGCCGACTGGTGACCCCCCCCAAAACGACCCCCTAGATCCGCCCTTGGCTTGTAGGAAACCAGCTTTGAGTTGGCAAGACTGCAAATTTTGATTTAGAGGCAAGGATGCTTGAAAAGGTGATCGATCTTAGGTGTCCTAGGATAAGTTTGGAAACGGGATGCACCATTCGATGTGTTTTGGGCCTTGCCAAGTTTCGCGGCGTTACGTGCCTCGTTTTTTTTTTGCATACACGATCAGTATCTACTTTTGGGATTTTCGATTTTCGGTCCCCGTCCCCCCCTATCGAAAACCCGTGGCGCCGCCCCTGACTTGACCTCTTCCCGAATAGGCAACCATATTGCACCAGGAACCGTAACATCTTTCTGAAAACACCATCGCTCCAGTTCCGTTTTTTTTTTTATTGCCTGCTCAAGCAATAACATCACATTGCATTCAATAGGTATATCACAGCCAGTGAACATGCTTAACTGGACCTTGAAGATCACACAATGCACCGCGTCAAAAAGGGAAAATACCTTCAATGGTATTTTCCCTTTAAAACAAACAACATCCCTTTAAAGCTAACAACAATGCCGGCCGACCCTCGTCCCCTGCCCCGGCGGCCCGCTCGGCGCGGCCGTCGCGCAGGCTGGCGCGCTCGGCGCGCGAGGGGACATGGGAGCAGCGAACAGCTGACTGCTCCCGGCACTGGGACCCCTCACGGGTCTCGTCGTGTAGAGTGCCAAACACCTGACATCAACCATCGACGGGACGACCAAATTGCTCCTGCCTGTGCATACGACCTGGCATTTCTGATGGAGGTGCGTGACCGGCTTAACAACAACACGGCTCGGGAAGTCGCCGAGACTATCCGGCGCAGTCTTCCCGCCCATGTCATCCGCCGTCATAATCGGCCACGCCCCCTCAGCCTAGTGGACGGAGCACATGGCCGGCCTGCTCGACAGACTCAGCGCCAGTCTAGCCGGCCGACCGACCCGCCCAAATTACTCATCGGCTCCCTGAATATTCAAAGCCTGAAGCCCAAAATTCAGGAGCTGACGTTTGAGCTCAATCGACACAACTACGACGCCATGCTTCTGGCTGAGACCTGGCTGCGCTCGACCACCCCGAACCGCCTCCTGGTCATTCCAGGATACACGCTTTGTCGTGTGGACCGCCCAGATGGTAGCGGTTACGGCGGTGTCGCAATTATCACCAAGGCTAAAATCACGTCAACCGCACTCAAGATTCCGGGCCGTGGGAGCTCTGCCAGCAGCCTGGAGTCACTGTGGGCGCTGCTAAAGCTTGAACAGGGCCGGCAGCTGATTATCTGCTCCCTGTATCGGCCACCCCGACACAGTGAGGCTGCTCTGCTTGCCGACTTCACGGACCTCGAGGCCCAACTGCAACGAGTTATAATCGATTACCCCAGTGTTCCGCTTGTCATCTGCGGCGACCTCAACTGTGATTTATTGAAAGAGCCCAATTTCCGCGCGCGTCAACACCTAAGCAGCTTCCTATCAAATTACTCATTAGATCAA